CCGCCCGGCCGCGGCGAGCTTTTAACGGCTGCCCCGGGTCGCCCCGGTGGCCCCCGCACCGCACCGCACCGCACCGCCCCCGTCCCGCGGCAAGCCGGGGCAGGCTCTCGCTGTACAATTAAAGCAATTAAAAGTTGCTTTTAATGCCAGCCAACAGCCAGGGAGCCACCGGGGGCCGCGCAGCCGAAGGAGCCGTCCCCGCCGCGGGACCGGGGGGGTTCAGACGTCCCTGCCGAGGGTCTGGGCTGCTTTCGGGTTGGTTTCTTTTTATTTTTGTAAGAAAAAAAAAAAAAGACAGTAAATCCGCTCCTGTGCTTGTTGGAGAGGGCCCGGCGGGGGGGACAGGCGGGTGAGCCTAGGGGAGGGAGAGGAGCGGCCGGCCCGGCGGTGGGGTGCGCTTCCTAAGCGATGACGCAGCCCCCCTTCTCCTTGAAGGGGTTCTTGTCCTCGGGGACCCCCTTCACCAGCGGGTCCTCCCCCGAGCGCTCCTCGATGTAGTTCTTGATCTCCTCGGAGCACTTGGACACCTGGAGCGAGAGGAGGGAGAGGGGCGCGTTACTGCGGGGGCTCCCCCGCGCCTCACCACACGAAACGGGCAGTTCTCCCCCTCCCCTCTTCTATTTTCCGTCCCACCGAGTATAACGGCCCTGACAGGCTCTGACAGAACATGGTGGCACCCCAGGCCATGTACATCCCACTCCCAACACCAGCTGCTCCACAGTTAAACTTGCATAGTTTTTTTTTTTTTTTTTTTAATTAGCCAATGTAGTTTGTTGGTTTATGTCTGTTTGTGGGGCTTTTTTTTCCGTGGGTTTTTTTGGTTGGTTGGGTTTTTTGTGGTTGGACTCGATGATCTCAAAGGTCCCTTCCAACCATGAAGATTCTAAATTAAATTAAGCTGCAGATCACACTCTCCCCCGACATCAGCACGAGTTACGGTCAACGGGTTCAGGATCAGTAACTTTCACTTCAATTTCAAAGTATTTACGACCTTAGGTGTTGTTCCCAAACAAAACACTGGGTAATGATTTTTCACTGGGAATACAAACCCTTCCCTTGCCCTTCTCTAGGAGCAACCACACGTCCTGAGCGGGAGTACAGACCTGACGTGGGAAGACAACTTACCTACAGGCTTCCTGGGGATATTTCTAATGGTTAATAAAACATCGTGTTGTGAGAGAACATCACCTGCACGAGCTCTGTGTGACACTCGCAGGGCTCCAGCACTGATGGGGGGAAACCTGCACAGAACCCGCCCGGGAAGGCGAAATGGGCAGGAGCCATGTCTGCCGAGCCTGGGGGTGCACAAATAAACCCCACCAGCTCCAGGAGACCTCTTGTCTCCCTTCCCTGTGTCAGCAGAAACCGTCCCTGGGTGGAGTGCCTGCCGTGCCCGAGGACACGCTGCCGGCTCCTCGAATGCACCTTCAGACATTTTTATTCATTTGAAAAAAAATATTCAAAAGGGTATTTCCGCTTTGTGCTGTGAAGGTATAGGAAGGCGTCAAGAAAACTTTGGCTAAAGGTTTTTACTTCTGGTGACCCCAGAAGCGTGGCTTCTGCATTTCCCTGTGACACCCACACAGGTACCAGGGCACTGTGACAACTGCAACACAGCTTTCATTCCTGCAGTGGCACTTGCCTGTGCCTTACTACGGTGATTTGAAAATACCCATTTCCCTACAGCGATCAGGCTCTTGGTTTATTCCAAATATTTAGGTAATAATTTTAAATTATTATTATTACCATTATTAAAAAAATCAAAACCTGTCCATCCTACAGAGTGTATTTCGGTTGCCTGGGAACTCTCTGAGGGATGCTATGGATATCTATAGTAGCTGGATGTGGAGTCTTCAATATGCTGGGGCTTTAGATGTGACACCGACGGCCGCTGACACCCAGCTGACAGCTAAATCCTAACTCTGCTTTGCCTGTTCTCCGGGCCGAGCCCCCAGACCTGCGACGGCATTCACGTGGCTGATGCCACCCACTCCCACCACAAATGTACTTTTAGTCCCCAGCAGAAGCGTTTCTTTAGCTGCAGCCTGCTCCTGCTGGCGGGCGGGATAAGAAGACAATAGAAGGAGTATTAGCCCGGCCCGGCGGGCTGCCGTGGGGTCCGGGCCGGGACGCCCCCCCCCCCGGCCCTGCCGGGCCCCGCGCCTTTTACAGAGGAGGGGACCCGAGCTCGACGGGCTGCTCCCTCGCCCGCCGGGGCTGCCGGGTGCCGGCACCGGGCTCCGGGACCCGCCGGGGAGGGGGTGCCAAGTGTGTGTGTGTGGGGAGGGGTCAAGTGCAAGGGCAACAGCCGCAGCCGGCGGGCCCGTCCCGGCCCCTCGGGGCGCCTCATCCCGGGGGCGGTTCGCCCCTTCGCCCCCCCTCGAACCACAGCCCCCCCGCGCTCCTGCAGGGTGCTAGCGCTGGTAGGTCGCCAGCCCCGTCCCGCTCCCTGCCCCACACCCTGTGCCTGGGCCCGTCGGTGCGAACTCCGGTTCCTCCCAAAACTCTCCCGGAGAGCGGTTCCCGGAGCCCCCGCTGTCCCCGCCGTCGCCGGGCCCTCCGCGCCGGGCAGGGACCCTCCCGCG